TTTTCTCAATTTCTTTCGTTTTCGTTGATTGTCTTCTTGTAGAGCGCAGAACGTACAAATCTCTCTCAACTATAACAATAGAGATAGATCTAATTCAAATAAAAATTAATAGTGTTATAGTTATAATATTGTGAAAGATTATAAGTTTATATTTATAATATAATATTAAATAAGCATAATATAACATTAAATAAATATATATAATATTATAAATAAATATTTAAATAAAAAATATTAATTAAATAATAATAAATTATATTATTAACTTACAATATTATGTGATATCATATTGATAAAAAATATTAAGTGATATTGTAATTATAGTAATTTCAATAAAAAAAATTATCTTACTAATTAATTGATTTAGAGTAGACTTTTTATACTTAATGATTTAGATTTATCATGAATATAATTTAAATTTATAATTGACATAATGAGTTATGTTTTAGTTTTAGACTTTAATATCATCGTATATAACAATTTTAAATATTTTGAAGTATTTTTTTTTACTTTTTAATTAATAAAAACATTTAATTTCTATAAAAAAAAAATTGACTTAGAATAATAATTCAAAATTTATGTGTGACATTACTAATTAACAATTCCCACCATTCTTCTGGATGTATGTACCATGAACTCCTTTGAATGGAGGACTAAATGGCTGGCCAACATCAATCAAGGGAAGATAAAGAGAGATCATGCTTTGGCCCTCGCAACCAACATTCCTCATCCCTTCAAGGGAATCACTTGCTTAATGGTACTATCGTCACGTTACAAATGCTTTTTAGTGCAGGCAAGTCATCCAATTTCTAAAGGTTTTAATTTTGGAGGAATGACCTTGCTGACTCTCTCCTCTTTCTCCTTCGGGATTCAATCAAACATTCCCTCATCCTTACTAGCAGAAATATCCTTTAAAGCTTACGTTGTTGCAGGCTGCGACCCATCAATACCCAATACTTCTACAATAGGTAACATTGGATTATCACCAACAATATCAATGCCAGTAAACGCCATCAACCTTCAATAGCTTAAAGGGATAACAAAATTATTTGATTTAAATACAAATCTTTCTTTACTTGAAAGAATTAAGGTTAAAGACAGAAGATAATTAATCTTTCTGTTGATTTGACTATTCTCGGATTCCCTGCTTGAATCATCTTCTTCAGATAATTCATAAAAATTAAGAAGATATATATACACCCTAGATAGCTAAACTAAAATGCTTAATACACCATATATGAAGCAAAATTGTGCAGCAAAATACATAGGGACCCAAAGTGAGCCTCAGCTTTCAAGTTTATTTTCAACACAATTCACATACTAAGAAAAGAAGTTCTAGCCCTCAAGGAACGCACACACACATATATCCAAATTGTTTGGAAAGCTATTGCATCACGGGGACCAGACTGAATGACTGGTTTAGAAACACATAGGATTAAAAGACCCCTTTCAATACTGGAAAATGGGTTTAGAAACAAGGCAAATTGAATTGAGCAGTTATTGGAAATTCCTTAATTTGTTAAATCTGGATGATAGAGCACAGACACCCATGTCTAAACTAACAGCCGATAGTTGTTTGACCAGCAAAAAGGGAATTTTATTGGAACCCTTGTACATTATTGCAGCATAACTATATTCCAGTTAGCAAGACAACTGAAAATCCATTTAGGCAATTGATCGAATACTTGGTGCGCATCTGAAAAAGACATTCTATACTTCCATATCCCATGGTTCCAAAACCCCAACAATCAGATTCTCTATTCACTCCACTAACAAGTACTCCTATTTCTAAGTCTTTGAAGAGATAAGTTATCAACAAACACAAAAGATGGCTATGAAAACAGCAATTTGGCGTCCTCCATAGCAAAAGTGTTGCAAAGCGACAACATGCAAAGAATAAGCAATCACTAGTGCAATTGAGTGGGAAAAATAGAAGAGAATGGAAGAAAGAACCTTGTCCCTCCAAATTGAGTGGAGGAGTCATGGTTGCGATGGAGTGCTGCAGCGTGACAGCAGATATTTCCTCCTCAACCTCCACCGCCATTCCTACTTTCTCCTCTGCTGCTGTATACTTTAAATGTTAAAACTGAACACCTTAATCCTTTCCATTGTGGATTCTCTGATCAGACAGCTATTAAATTTTACATAAAAAGCATTGGCTGTTGATTTCGAAAAATAAAATGAGATCCTTACAAATGACTTAAAACATCAATTATTAATCAAATTTCACTGACATCTCTCAACATCTAGTCCTATTCTAGATCTGTTACTTCTCGGGACAACTAGCAAAATATAGCTATTGTAAATCAACCTTCAATGTCAATCCCAATATTTAAAACACACATCATCCCTTCTTTGATTTCATTGAATGAGAGCACAAAGAGGTACTCAAACCCATACACCACAGGATAAACACTGCAGCAGGCCACTGCAAAGAAATAATTACAGAATCCAGAGCCACTTAGATACTCATCATTCTCCTCAAAGTGCTCAGCCAAATCAATTAAAGAATCCGTCAACAAATGTTTCCATGTCATAGACACTAGTGTTGCAGCCACATTCATTCCCCTACAGTCACTTGGAAACCCTACCTAAACATATTTAAAATGCCAAAAATTTTATTTCCAGTTTAGAATTCTAACAATTGGGAAAAGAAAAATAGAACAGTAGCTTAGAGTACCTCTTTAATTGGTTGAGTTTGATCGAACCGTGGAAATGACAATGGCTTCCTTCTCTGAACCTTGGAAACCATCAACAGTTGAGACTTCTACGCCCTTGCAAAGTAGCAATCTCAGCTTCATCTTCACTCAGTGTGTCATCTTCTTCATCCTTCCTTTCTCTTCCATGTTACATCTGAAGCATATCAAACGTGAATTAAACTTTTACCTATTTACAAAATAAAGTTGTACAGAGCAAAATTTCTTAGAATAACTTGGGGACCTCCCTAATCCAGGAGTAAATTAATCAACTTATTACTGTTGTCTCTTTTGACATTTGAGATGTTTCTTGTTAGGTA